GGATTCTAGAGTAGAAACGATCGTTTACGCAGTGAAGCACAATTTTCCATCTTTAATTTTAGATTTCAACGCTTTCTGTATCATTGAAATAACAAATCAATCCATCAAGAACGAAACATTTTTTATTCAAATATATATAATTTTTTTTCTTTTCTTATATAAACAGATGCATTAAACTCGAAATTACAATAAATCTTTTCTAATTTTACCAACCCGTTACCGACCACTACATTTTATTATAGAGATATTTTATTTATAATAACCATCTTATAGTAAAAAAGAGAAAAGAAAAAAATACTTGAAAGCTGCTTCTTTTTTCGATAATATATTATTTTTTATTGACCTTAGAGCAAATTGAAAATTACTAAAATGTCATATTTTCTACCTCCGGCTAATAAGTCTATTTTCATTTTTCTCCTCTTACTTTCTGTGATTATTTAAAAAACATATTATTTATTTATGTATTTGAAAATTAATCATTTAAATCGAGAAAATTTCACGTTTTTTTTTTAAATTTCTCCTCTAAACATTGCAAAATATACAATTTCTTAAAACAACTTTATATGATTTTCGTATATAAACGTCTTTCTCTTTTTGAAATTCTTATTTATGTACATATTTCAAAGCTATTATTTACTTTTAAAAAACGATATCAAACCTTGTATTTTTAAAAATATGAAAGAAAAAATTATTTTTATTTTTCGAATAAAAAGAATATTCCTTACTCCATTCGAACTTTTTAAGATATTGATTGAAAATATTGAATTATGCTATTTATTTTTATTGATATATCTTCAGATATAATTTTCGAAAGCTTTGTATGTATTTCTATCACGTTTTTAAATTTCGACAGGTATTTTATAGAAAAATGCATTTGGAATGGAATATCATTTCACACTGCAAAGATATTCTATTTAAATTATTTTATTTTTTCTCTCCTTTAAAACAAAATGGTGTTTGTTTGAAAGGCGCACAAATATGCGAAATCGTTGAAACGAAATTGTTTAATTGAAAAACTATCTTTAAAATATGTTAAATATCAATAAAAGATTTTAATTAATTTTTAAAAATTAATTTAAGGAAGAGTTTGATGATGCGAGCGATGTTTATTGTTATTTTAAAAGCAATTCATCGTAGAAAAAATTCTATTAATGGCGCTTTTTTTTAATTTAATTTTTTCAATTTTTATTTTTATTGAGGATAAACGATGACGAAAACTTGCTTAGAATGATTCATTTTCTGTATCTTTGCATGCATGTCGTTTCATACAAAAGCGTTCAGTAAATAAGTAGATAAAAGCGATCAAAATTCATTTTTTATCATACAAATTCTAAATCAATGTTATGTATACACCTTCTTGAATAATCGATATATATTTAAGATTATGTAATCTGAAATGTTTTTCTCTTGTTGCATTAAAAGCATGATAATACAGAAGAGGTAAAAACTTTGGGTGATTAATATTCTCGATTTTTATTATTAATATACAAAATTACTGTAGGTTCCTTCACCGTTTAGAAGCATTCACGTGACACGATGATTTCCGATAGGGAGAGATTTATGAATGCAGACAAAAGCATTGTGTAGAAGATGCTCGAAGACGAAGGTCTGGACAAAAGCTAGATAAGCTGGCAGCCATCTCCACTATCGTCGCTCGTTTATTTTCTGCCAATAATCTGGCGGAAAATGACACTAGACGACATCTTTTCCTGAAAGAAGGATTACTGACGTCACCTAATGAGATAATTAATCGGATAAAATTAAGCGGAATTATTTTTTAGCATCAAATGTCGGAGATACTAAAGAGAGAGTTTGCTTCTATATCCGCTCAATTACGATCCTTTCTTCGCTATACTAGATTTCATATCATTAAATAATTATACCGAATATATTTTGCGTCATTAAAATAGATTGGTTAAGGTTAGCTCTTCAATTTTTGATTTTTCAATTTACTAAAGTAATTAGATAGTTAATTGCTACATGTTTAAATTATGTTTCCGAAATATTACTTCCAGTTCCCTGTCACGCTTTGTATAAGTTTTAATGTCTTTTGTCCAAAGTCTTAATGAGATCCAATATACAAATTCGTTAAAATGATTAAAAATATGTTATTTTAAAATATAAATATCCCTATAACTTAATTAATTATAGGTTAAAATATTCATTTAAAATGTATATAATCATAATTAAATANTACGTGATTTGTATATTATTTCCAAAATATTATTCTATGTTGAATTGTTAGAAACATTAAAATGTATAAAGAGAAACTTGAGATTGAAACATTACTTATGTAAAAATTGCCATCTGCAAAAGAAGAAATAGTCTATTTTTGAATCCGAAATCCATGTAATAGCAGTAGTTTATGATTTAATGATACATCACGAGCGGTACATGTTGTTTATTATCTGTGAATTGTTTATTTTCTCACTTTTAAAATTCGGTCTTAGATTCTACCATAACTGTTTATATTTCAAGCTATATGTAACTTTTTATAGATATAAGTCAAGCTTTGCCTAAATATTAAGCTAACATATCCTAATCTCGCATTAAAAAATTAATTTGAATGTTAATATTTCAAATAGGACAATGAAATTTTTAACAAATATAAAGTCGTTTACGTAAGTAGAAAAATATTGATTGATACAATACAAACAAATAAAAAATTATGATTTACTTTACACTTTATTAATGAACAGAAAATAAATTTCTAATATTTAATATTTACTTCATCATCAAAAGCTGTTTTCCTTTCGTCGTTACATTGTATTATTAATTTTGACTTTGAATCTTTTTAATATTTTCGAATACTTTTTAAGCGTAAGATAATTTGCGATGATGCTTGATATTTATGTATAAAATTTTATTTTAGTTCAGTTATGACGATAGCATACATACTAATGGTTCGTCTTTCCTTCTGTTCGTCCTGTAGCCCGCCTTCCGGATATATTTGCCCTTATCACTTTCGTGTGTTTTTATTAATGATTTCCATGACTAAAACTTTTTTTTAAATCCAACAATTTCGACCATAAGACACGTGTAAAAATTCCCGCGTAAGATTGACGAACGTAAAAATAAGAAAACGATATTTAAAGATACGATATTAAAATGACATAAAATGTAAAGGCCGATTTACGACCAAATCGGTTTACGACCTCGAAACCAATTACGGTCGTAAGTCGAGAACTACCTGTATTTGTAGATCAAAAGTCAGTACAGACAATCGTGATAAAAATGTTAGGCAAATTCTAAATAGTAGACCTATTAGGGAGTAAATCACATCAAGGTTTCATTTAATATAATTTAGTTGAGAAGAAAAATATTTATTTTCCAATTCAAAGAGATATGAATATTATCAATTTTAATTATTTTAACAGTTAAAATGAAGATTTCTCGACAACAGTTATGACAAACTTTAAGATTTTAAATCTTAAAGTTTAAATTTTAATTTTGAATTATTAATAAGAATATTTGTATATAAAAGTAAACATTTTTAAGAATTTTCTTTGTTTTTTTTAATATTATATTATCATTATTATTAAATTTAATATTTAAATCAGCTGTAAAAAATTAAAACAGATAAGTTAATAAATAGCAAGCGTAATATTAATTTGGAGAGTAAATAGAATTTTGTATTTTTTCTTTTTTTTTGGAATACTTAAGGTAGTTATTATTATTATTAAAATTTATTAAATTTCTAAGATTAAAGAAAAAATATTCACAAAATCATTTTCTTAAGTAGATGTATTGATAATGATGATACTCTTAATAGTCTTTTATATATATATTGTTTTTTTTTTAATTCGAGAATGAGGGTATTAATTTTCATTCAGAAATTTATCAGAGCGAATAATAATTAGTCTTTTCGAACAATTTTTAACAGTTTTTTAATTTATCTTACCATATTAATGATTTTAAAAAATAAAGAAAAAATAGATTAGTCGTATCCTATTTATCACATGCTTATTTTCTATCAAAATTTTATTTGTTTATAACATTTATTATTTACATTTCTTCTCTGTTAACAATTTAATAAACTGATTATATTATTTATAAAACATTATAGTATTTAAGCTAAAAGTTAGAAAAATAAACATTTTACCCACATTTATATTCTTTATCTCTTTAAAAAAGGTGTATAATTTCTAATTAAGTAAATTACATATTGTTTTAATATTTATTTAATGTTTATACTTTGTTGCATGATTTATACCACATAAATATAACAGACTTATGTTATTAGTACTACAAATTTAATAAAATTTAAATCTTTTATTACATTTTATTTATTTAAAACTTATTCATAAAATATATTTGATATTAATATATTTTTATTAAGGCTAAAGAGGTCATTAAACCCATATTCGGATATTTGTAACAAGTAACATTTATTTAATTGGATGTATATAAAATTAATGGAAAAATTATTATTTATGGGCAAGTGACACGATGTTTTTCAGTAATGGAACATTGTTTTCTAGTCGAACAGCTTTCGTTTGTTCACCGATGCATATGAAAATTTCTATTATCGATAAATCTAAAATAATTCGTGTGGAAATTTTACTTCGTTTTGTATTTTAAATATTTAATGCATTTATAACGTTTGACACATTAATAATATGACATTTTTATCATTACGATACATTAATTGTCAAACTTATTAATAACTTAAAGATAGATCGATATTCAATAGATAAATAATTAATTTTATACATTTTATATGAAAAGTGTTAAACAAATGAAAAAAATAGGAAAAAAAACTGTTGAAATTTCCCATCAAAATGGAAAGTTTTTATCAGAATCAGATGAGAGAAATAGAGTAGGAGGTTGATCACAAACCATTGGATGGATCTATAAATTATATTTTATACACTTGACACGTCACTGCTAAGTCTGATAAATATCCGTTTATTCTCGACATTGTCATTCTTCTCGATAATATTTAGCTATAAATATAGGAAGTGACGCAATCTATCTGTAACCAACAAACGACTACTTACCTGGATTCCTCTACGGGATGATATAATGTTAACAGTTTTGGATGTTTAAAACGATCCAAAAGTCTGACGCTCGATCGTAAAATTTCGGTCACGGTTTCTTTTCGTTTGGGTTTGTGCAGTTTATCGGCCACTCGCTTTTCGAAGATAAAAACCGACGCTTCCTATAGAAAATTTAATTTTTTTATTTAAGTATAATTGCTAAATTAAATATTAACTGTATTGTTATTTAATTAAAATGATTAAAAATTAATTTAAACTCTTTCTTCTGACTACAAGTTAAATAGGAAATCTTATTAATTAGTAGATGCTAGTTACTATTTTTATACTATTTATAAACAATCAAACAAAATTTATAATTGAATCTTTCGTTAAGCTTTTAAATTTTAATTCGAGGAACGAAATCCTAATCCGAAATATCGCGAATATCCAGATAAAATTCGATCCATCAGAAAGAAAATTTTAATATAATAATAAATAATTAAAATAAAATAATAATATTAAATCAAAAATAAATTTAATTTCAGCTTGAACATCGCTAGTTCAGCAGCTTCGATGATTTAAATCTGGTGCCAAGTTGTCAGATGAAATTTTAAATGTCTCCTAGATTTATTCCCAAAAGTTTTCTATATTTCTCTAGACAATATACTATACTGTAATATTTATTGTGTAATTATAAAGACTTACAAATGGAATTAGAATGGTATAGTTACATTAGATAGTAGTGATAATAATACATATAGAATAATAAATAACTGAAGACATGAATGAATAAAAGTATTATGTTACAAAGTTTAGAGTGAATTGATGTTTAAGTTTTTATTATATAATTATTCCGATATAAATATATCCACGAAGTATTGGAATTGTTTAATTTCTGAGATCTTTGATGAGAGACGGATACATTAAACCTTCATTCGTGTTTTGTCGGGTTTTGAAAAGTTGTAGCAAAACACCTTCATCCATTCGTGTCTTCAATTGTAATAAAAGTATATGAAACTTTTATTATTACATTATGAAATTATTAGCAAGATTTTCAATTTGTTTATTAAGGAGTTGTTCTTTAGGCGCCTGGTCGCAGATTCGAATCCTACGTAATGATCTAAGGCAGTGTTTCTCAACCTCTAACGAATCGTCGCCTCCTTCAACGTAGTATCGCCCGCTTCAATAAAACCGCTATCTATTATCGCCCCCAACACTTCAAAATTCCGATGCCGAGGACCAAGACTAACGCGAAATTCGTACTGCATTGAATAGACTAGTGACTAGTTTAATGTTATTTGTTTAATTATTGTACGATATAACGAATAAAATATCTAATTATTTTTTATATAATGCTTTACTATATAGCCCAGAAAATTATTTTTCGCCCCCCAAATATAAATTTTTACTAATCGCCCCCTCAACATGGAAAAACGCCCACATGGGAGCGATATCGCCTTGAGAAACTCTGATCTAAGGTATCTAGGAAACGGATGTGTATAATCTGTTTTAATAAGAAATGGTTTTAGGTAAAGCCATTGTTACAAATTCGTATTTATAGAGGCAGTACATTAAAATTATACGTAATGTTATGTTTTTAATGTTATTAATGGCTATCAGAGGGCACTCAAACTAAGAAAAAATTCAAATACTGTATTTCATTGTCATGAATGCATTTTAATAGAAGTTGCCAAAAAGTTGTTTGAGATACTTTTTTTTTAATTCTGTTTGATTTGCTAAAAATTTATCAAAATATTCCTTTTCTCTTTTGGCAAATTGAAATTAGCCAAGTTGTGATTTTTTTAAAAATATTTTACAGGTATCAGTAGGATTATTTTTCTTTGTTTTTTCTTCTAATCTACTGCACTTTATTTTACATTACAGTAAACTTGTGACGACTAGGTTTATGTCTATATAAGTTGTATCGCTATCAGTAATACAGCAAGAACATAGTATATGAATTGTTTCGCCATTTTTTACCCCAAGCTTCACTGGTTCGGAAAATCCGCCACTCCGGCATCTGTTTGGTACCAAGCTTGCCAAGATTAGTAAGACTCAAACTATATCAATATCATCTTAGAGAAAGAAAAATACAATCTTGTTGTGTTTTTATTAGGAGAATCCAGGTTCGATTCTCGCTTTAAATGAGTTCTTTCCATTATCTTCTTCCAGTAATTTCAATTTAAGAAATGGTAAATGAACTAAAATCGCTGTTAATGAATAGTAATTAAAACACCTTCAAACGTACTAATACTGCATTTAAGATATATTTAAAATAATAAAAAATATATATAGTATATTATTTTAAATTAGATAAAATGCTAGATTACGATCAAATTGCTTGATATTAAATATAATTATCTCCTGATGACAACTATACAAAATGCTCCTAAGCTTTCCATATGTAATCTCCACTTTCATCTATCTAATACGGTTCTCGAGATTAAGGAAGGACGGACAGACAATGGGAATTTATAGGTCTATAGTTTTTTCAAATCATAATTAATGTAAGTTTTATATTTCATCAAGATGCAACAAGAAAAACTGATAAAGAAGGCAAAGAACATCTTTTATTATTCTTTAATACAAGAGTTACACAATAATCGCATAAAATATAAACTGGTCGTCTGTATATCATATTTAAATAAATTTATTTTTTTTTAATTGTTTGATTTGTTCTATTAGAATATTCCATTCCTTCAAAATCATCCGATAATCATAAAGAATGATAAATATATTCTTTCTTATAACCTAAACCACTCGTAATAAATTATTCGTTTTTATTATTTATGGTTTTCATTCGTTTTACTCTATTTAAACTGTAAACGGTGCGTGTAACATCTTTGCTACAAAAATGATTTATGAAAAAGAAAGAAATCTAATGAAGGAAATGTCTTGCATTCTGAATACTTTTCCAGTTGCTTAAGATCGAAAAACAAATAAAATAGTGAAATTTCTTAGTGAATTTATAAAACTTTAAAAAAAAGCATATCTTTTGTAAGTATCCTCGAGGCCTTTCTTCCACAGTTTATAATTATATAGCGAATAATCATTATCGTGCGCGTAGAATAAAGAAGGGCAAGAAATTAGAGTGCTGACCGTGAAGATAGAAATATTGATAATTAAGGTACCAAAGGCAGATTGAATGAATATTTCTGGTTTTATAGAATAAAATACTCGGTCTCCGAAGATAAGAACTCTTCAGAGACCCACTCGACTCAGTGCAGTCATTACTTAAATCATTTTTATCGTGACAACGTACAGTAGGATTTGCTTTATTAAAAATGTTAATAACTGTTGTTAAAAAAAAAAAAAACTGTACAAGTCTAGCATAACTACATGCCATTTTTATTTAGAAAAATAATACCTGCTTTTATATCGCCTCTAATTATTTTAGTTTGAAAAAATAAAGAAATAAAAAAAAGTTCTAAACAACCCTTTGTAATATTTGCATTAGGAGATAAATCCATTGCAATTTTTCTGGATTTTTGAATGAATAGGATTCTAGAGTAGAAACGATCGTTTACGCAGTGAAGCACAATTTTCCATCTTTAATTTTAGATTTCAACGCTTTCTGTATCATTGAAATAACAAATCAATCCATCAAGAACGAAACATTTTTTATTCAAATATATATAATTTTTTTTCTTTTCTTATATAAACAGATGCATTAAACTCGAAATTACAATAAATCTTTTCTAATTTTACCAACCCGTTACCGACCACTACATTTTATTATAGAGATATTTTATTTATAATAACCATCTTATAGTAAAAAAGAGAAAAGAAAAAAATACTTGAAAGCTGCTTCTTTTTTCGATAATATATTATTTTTTATTGACCTTAGAGCAAATTGAAAATTACTAAAATGTCATATTTTCTACCTCCGGCTAATAAGTCTATTTTCATTTTTCTCCTCTTACTTTCTGTGATTATTTAAAAAACATATTATTTATTTATGTATTTGAAAATTAATCATTTAAATCGAGAAAATTTCACGTTTTTTTTTTAAATTTCTCCTCTAAACATTGCAAAATATACAATTTCTTAAAACAACTTTATATGATTTTCGTATATAAACGTCTTTCTCTTTTTGAAATTCTTATTTATGTACATATTTCAAAGCTATTATTTACTTTTAAAAAACGATATCAAACCTTGTATTTTTAAAAATATGAAAGAAAAAATTATTTTTATTTTTCGAATAAAAAGAATATTCCTTACTCCATTCGAACTTTTTAAGATATTGATTGAAAATATTGAATTATGCTATTTATTTTTATTGATATATCTTCAGATATAATTTTCGAAAGCTTTGTATGTATTTCTATCACGTTTTTAAATTTCGACAGGTATTTTATAGAAAAATGCATTTGGAATGGAATATCATTTCACACTGCAAAGATATTCTATTTAAATTATTTTATTTTTTCTCTCCTTTAAAACAAAATGGTGTTTGTTTGAAAGGCGCACAAATATGCGAAATCGTTGAAACGAAATTGTTTAATTGAAAAACTATCTTTAAAATATGTTAAATATCAATAAAAGATTTTAATTAATTTTTAAAAATTAATTTAAGGAAGAGTTTGATGATGCGAGCGATGTTTATTGTTATTTTAAAAGCAATTCATCGTAGAAAAAATTCTATTAATGGCGCTTTTTTTTAATTTAATTTTTTCAATTTTTATTTTTATTGAGGATAAACGATGACGAAAACTTGCTTAGAATGATTCATTTTCTGTATCTTTGCATGCATGTCGTTTCATACAAAAGCGTTCAGTAAATAAGTAGATAAAAGCGATCAAAATTCATTTTTTATCATACAAATTCTAAATCAATGTTATGTATACACCTTCTTGAATAATCGATATATATTTAAGATTATGTAATCTGAAATGTTTTTCTCTTGTTGCATTAAAAGCATGATAATACAGAAGAGGTAAAAACTTTGGGTGATTAATATTCTCGATTTTTATTATTAATATACAAAATTACTGTAGGTTCCTTCACCGTTTAGAAGCATTCACGTGACACGATGATTTCCGATAGGGAGAGATTTATGAATGCAGACAAAAGCATTGTGTAGAAGATGCTCGAAGACGAAGGTCTGGACAAAAGCTAGATAAGCTGGCAGCCATCTCCACTATCGTCGCTCGTTTATTTTCTGCCAATAATCTGGCGG